TTAAATTATTATTTATTTTTCCCACATCACCCAGCCCTAGTAATTTACCTTTATAACATCAAGCATCATCATTGAAGTTAACAATAGGTCAGATTAATTCATTCATTCATTCATTTTCATCCCTTTTTTAATCCATTTCTGGGTCTGGGGGGCGGCAATCAGAGCTGCCACCCAATTCACAAAGCACCAGTCCCTCGCTGATCCTCTGCAGGTGGTGGGTCCACAGGAAGATGGCTGCTCCTTCAACGCAGATGCAGCCTTGATCTTTCATCAGGGACTTCAGGCAAAGTGGGGTTAAGTGTCTTGCCCAGGGACACAACGACAGCAGACATGGGTAGTGGTGGGATCGAACCCACGACCATTAGGTCCAGAGACCAATGCTCTACCAACTGAGCCACGACAGTTGCTGTCGCCCCCAATAGGTCAGATAATACACACATTTTTGACGAATTATTAATGCTTTCAATTCCCTTAAGCAGTGAGTCCCCAAGTAAATTGTGAATCTCTGTTCGCTACAAAGACATTCAAATGATTCCTTACCAGAGAAGACTTTCACTTAAAGGATTATCTTATTTCCATTGAATTCCTTTTTATTCAAGCACTTTTAAATTGGACCATACAGTAGAAAATGCACACAATAATCGGCTCAAAATGAGTAGGCAGACGCTAAAAAGTAGCTGGTTGTGAAAAGGTGGGTTTTCACAAGATATTTTTGCCAATTCTTTTTAAGCTATTTGTTGTTTTGTCTATTGTATGATCCAATTGTGCTCAAATGAAAAGGAAAGACACAGAAAAGTGAATTGTTGTGATTGGAAATGTTGTGAAATGAAAATGTCTTCACAAAAAGTATTGCTGGAACCTGCAATCAAATACAAAAGGAGACGAGGATTCAAACACAAGAATTGAACTATGTATTCAATCCATGTCTCTTGTCCTTCATTCTCAAATCACGCTGGTTCTGACGCTAGTTTTTCAGAAAAGTTAAAAAGAGAGGAGCACCTTCACTTTGCCAATCAGCCAAAAAAAGTCAATTAGTAACCCTCAGGTTTCTTTTTAAGAAGTGCACAAAGAATAATGTTTTATAATAAGAGGAAAATAGAATGTAAGCCTGATTAGGTCTCAACATTTTAGGATTACAGTAGTCTTTTCATATTCTTTTGAAATGAACAACATACAATATTAGCAAAAACACAAAAGAAGTGATTGCATACAGCAGGGGTCCCCAAACTTTTTTTCCTGATATGGCCACATAACTTGACCCTTCTCTGATTGAGGGCCGCGTAAGTTTGTAACAGAAAGAGTTTGATGATTGCAGGAGTGCCTAAACGTAAACATTTATTGTTTTCCAGAAAGCTTATATACTGTATTCTACAGAGCTAACAGTCCACCTGGCCGGCAGCTATCATACTTGTCTTTGTGACGGGATTCATAGTGTTGCCACGGATTGTATTCTTTGAATACCTCCATCGCCTCTCAACAGATAAGACAGGCAAACTTTTTTTTGCATTAAACGAGAAAATAATCAATTGTTCACTGTAGGTTAAATGCCCTACATTCTGAATCAATTTTTCTCTTACCTAATCTTTTCGCCATTATTCTGTTATCTCTTTGAGAGAACCTTGTTTAGATTTTTTTTTTCTGGGGGTTGCCAGATAGAGGGAACAGACCGCAGAAGGGTGGAACATAATGTTACGATACATGTGTGGAAGAAACAGTTACTAATAGTTGATGATGAGAATAGTTCATAACAAAAGAACATTTTATTGCAAAAGTCCAACTAGATTATTAAATAAATACATGTATTTCGTTTTTCATATATGGTATCACCGCGGGCCATAGTTTGGGGACCACTGGTATACAGGGATCAAAAAATATAATGCAGGGTAAACGGATGATGACCAGCAGAAAGTGGTCCAAACCTGTCGCTTTGTCCCTTCCACAATAAAGGATTTTTAAGTTAAAGGGACCTAATCTTATTTTGTTCGTATATTGTGGTATTTTTTTGTGTTAAATAAAACTCACTTTGACAGATAGTTTCACCCTTAGCAGTTTCTATCAATAATAATCATGCAAAAAGACATTCGCGGAAAAATTGCCGAGACCAGAGGTGACGTACACATAGGTGTCATTGGGCTTTGTTGATATGCATTTGTAAGCCGTAACGTTGTATACGGACGTTTTAAACAGATATTTGTCATTCAGTGATGGACAATACAAGTCAAGGGCTTTTATTTATGAGCCCTTGCGCACTTGTTATGACAGTCATTATGATTTTGAGGACTCTGCTCCTCATCTGAACCGAGTCAATCTGCAAGAAATGGACATTTGCGGACATTAGGGCCGTTTCCACGGGCTGGAGTATGGATCTATGGTCCGACCGGGTCCGACCCGTCTCGACCCGGTTTGCGGATGCGGTCAGTTTGAGCCCGACGGTGCACCCGAGTGAGTGTAAATAGCTAAGTGTTAGCGAAGGTAGCGCTGGGGACGAAGGAGTACATCAGGGTCATCGAAGTGCAGAGAAAAGTTAAGAAGCGTAAAAGTGACTACCGTGAAATGAAAGATCCCAGCTGTAAAAGTGGACAGAACTGAAAAGTCTGGAGGTGGTTTGACAACATGGATTGACACTGTTTTTACGGACATCAGCTAACAAGCAAACATCAGCTAACAAGCAAACATCAGCTAACACGTCAATACCCGCAACTCAGAAGCCTCAACTCTATGTCCCAGCTCCAGATGTGGAGTTTGACAGAAATGGTGAGTGTCTTCAATCAAATGCAAACATGTAGCGTTATGGTCTTATTCTGAACGTGTGTCTGTGGTTCTAAAGTCTTATACTAAACGTGTGTCTGTGGTTCTAAAGTCTAAAACATGTTGGTCATGTCATACCTATATCTTTTACTAAACGTAGTTAGAGTGAAACATGGATTCATGGTTCAATGACAGTTGTTGTGTTTTCTGCTGAATACTGGGTTGAAACTCGTAAAATTGGTTTTAGTTGGAGCTTGATAGAACTAATATCATGGACCTGGCGCTGGTGTCTTCTCCCAGTTTGTTTGGACCGTGGCCTTCTCTGAATAAGTCAAAGATCGTAGGGACTGCTGTTTACACTCTACTTTTTGTTACTTTCATTGCTGCATCCTGGGGCCATACAAAATACACCCATTTTAAGGTTTATTTGTATTAAAGCGGCAGCAGGAGCAATGCCATAAACAGTGAGGCGAGAGCTGCGACCCCTCTAAGTGCGTCATCATTTTTCTGGCCAATCAGTAGCGTTGATATTAAAAGGTTATTTTACTGATTTATTACTTATCTATAACACAAAAACACATTGCAAAGGTGGGAAATACATGCTTTTAAGGTGTTTTATCAGAAAACAAATAGTTTTTAATAGCGTTAGTGCCCTTTTAAGTCAGAGTGCCTCGAACTTTTTCCTTTTTTCTTTCAACATGTAATATTTCTGGAGGGGGAAAAAGTTAGGGAGACCGGCTTTAGACGCTATGGCATATTTGCTCTCGCAGTGGGTAAACCTAGACACATGTATGAATGCCACATGAATGCTCACCTCCTCCGTCACCGTGTGGTTCGCTGGAGCCACAGTCAGGGACAAACAGAGACTACAGCGCATTGTGCGCTCTGCAGAGGAAGTGATCGGCCGCAGCCTTCCATCGCTGCAGGACCTGTTCGTCGCCCGAGCTCGAGGCCGGGCTGGTCGTATCACAGCCGACCCCTCTCACCCTGCACATGGACTATTCCAACCACTCCCCTCAGGCAGGAGGCTGCGGTCCATCAGGACTAGAACCTCCCGCCACAAGAACAGTTTCTTCCCCTCTGCTGTTGGACTCTTGAACACTTCTTAACCTGTCCCCCCGCCCTTTATAAAGTCACTTTACTGCCCATCATACGTCACTTTACTTCACTGTACTGCTGTCACCTTACATTGTGTGCACCATGTATATTGTAAATAGTAACTGTAACTCTATTTTAAATTTAAATGTATTCCTTAGAAGTATTTTTAGGCCCGAGCCCCGAACGGGGAAAGGGCCTATTGTTTTTGCTCTGCACCAATTCTGCACTTTGAGCCTTAATTTCACCCCCTGAACATGCATGAAAAATGTTGCCCAAACATCAGACCTGGTGAAAAATTTGATATTTGGGTGTTTATTTTTATGGGACACAAAAAATGTCAGAACAGCGCCACCTACAACAGCCAATGGGAGTTTCAGAGGTCATGTTTGTCGTAGAGCCATGAAATTCAGTACACATGTTCCTCAAGTCAAGATAAGACCAAAATGTTATCATGGCTCCGCCCTCTGACAAACAGGAGGCCCATAAATTTCACTGCAAAATGAAAAAATGGATCTGCAATCATTTTCATACATGTCGGTCGGAAAGCGACTCCTCCTCGGCCGTTTCACCGATTGGCCTCCATATCACTCCACATTGTCTAAACACATGTACCATCAAAATGACCTCAGGGATTTTTGATCAACGAAACGTTGTTTGAGCAGCGGAGCGGCAAAATGTGTTTATTGGCCGTTTTTCACAACATTCTACTTGCTCCCGTTTACACATACAAATTCCGATTTGCACAAAACTTGAATCCATGGTTCAACTCTAGGGTCTAGGTCATTTGAAAGTGAAATAATTGAACTTGGCTAATTAACGCCCCCTAGAGACTATTTCAGAGTTTTTAGTATGAAAAACTCTGAAAACTTGGCACTAATGAGCCAAGTTCTTTTATTTCACTTTCAATTGACCTAGACCCTAGAGTTAAACAATGTATTAAAGTTTTGTGCAAATCAGACTTTGTATGTGCAAACGGGAGCAAATTTAATATTGTCCAAAACGGCCAAAAAAAGGTCACATTTTGCAGCTCCCCTGTGACCAAATAATGGCGCGGCAGCACCACATCCAATAAGCGGTGCAACGTGGTGCGGCACAGCGTGGTCCAGGGCGGCGTGGTGTGAGGCAGCGTTGTGCGCGGCGACGTGAGAGGCGGCATGGTGTGGGGAGGCGTGGTGCGGTGCGGGGAGTCGCGCGGTGCGGCGAGGTCCGTTCGACGCCGCTTGCGGCTTTAATTTATTCTTCATTTTTTATTATCTCTCTGACTGTTGCACTGAGCCAAAGCAATTTCCAAGTCTGTGACTTCCTGTTACCTACGTGGCAATAAAAATCATTCTGATTCTGATTCTGATTCTGAAGGATAGGTGCATTTCATCATTACCTAATCTCCTTTTCCTTCTGTGCCTTGTTCAGGTGGGATCTGCATCGCCCAGTCTCTGAGAATCCCCCACAACCCAAAGCCGGAGGATTATGACAAAGGCGTCCAACAGTTACTGGAGTCTCCACACGCTCGAGCCGTCATCATCTTTGCAAGTGACGAGGACATACGGTATATATAAAAGAGCCTCATCTGGGAACTAGCAGATATACTGTATGTGCATGCATTTAATCTAAGCTCCGGGAGATAAGCCGTAAAAGGTAGGATGGGGCACTGTATGCGTCATTACAATTTTCAATGGTAGACTACATTGGTCTTGGTTTTTTTAGTAAAGAATGTATAATGTATATGGCAAGAGACATTACAATGATTTCAGGCAGTCCATACTGTATATAGGGGTTGCATTGTTGGTTATCAAAGCCCATAGAAGGAGTAACCGTGATGGCTGACGTCACCCTTACTGTATATTTGCATTTTACAGGAATAAATTTGCTGCTGACTTTTATTTAGAGACAAAATCTCTCGTAGCAACACAGTAGCCAATCAAGAGTGGGGCTGGTCAATTCCTGATTGTGCTATTTGTTAAGAAACTGATTTGACCTCCTCTCGCAAATTCAACTTGTAGCCATAATCTAAGCAACCTCATGGCAACTATAGGGCCAATTAAGAAGGAGGCCGGTTGACTCTCACTCATGCTATTCGCTAATAAGCCAATATTAGCTGCTCTGTCAAGCACCATTTGAAGACAAAACATCTCATAGTAACCTCATCTGGTCCTTTCTTTCGTGTTTGTGCTATTCTTCATGAAGCCAATTGCAGCTCCTCTGAAAATCTAAATATCTCTCATAGCAACCTCAATCCATAGAGCAAATTAAGAGTGAGGCCAGGTGATTTTCTCTCACTCATGCTATTCGCTAATAAGCCGATTTTAGCTGCTCTGCCCAGCTCCATTTGAAGACTAAATCAGTCATAGCAACCGCATAGCAACCAAAAAGCAAATAAAGAATGAGGTTGATCCACCCCGTGAACTGTGAGGCCAGTGAGACTCATTGTGTGTTTGTGTGTAGAGTGTGTGTGTTCCGCTTTGAGATTCTGCTGCCAATTAATTTCCCTTTGGGACAGTGCGTTAAGTGGGCCGGAACGCACCGGATACTTCCAAAAGTAGCTCTTGAGCGGACCGCCACCTCTCTGTGTGCCAAGAAAGTGCTGTTGGTGTACCGGTACTTTTCAGAGCGGCCTTCACAATGCACGCTTCCTACTTAATCTCACTGAGAGCAGAGACTACAAAGCCATACGTTTTACAAGGGAAAGGTGCATGCGTCACTTTTGCCGCTGTAAACAACTCAACGTGGAATCATAGATCGTCGTTTAAAATCATGGATCTATTATAGGTTCAAATATAATCAACACTTACTCTACTATGATCTCCTGGACGGAACATGTTGGAGCTAGCTCAGCTAGTACGATAATTGTTGGTTACATAAGCTTTGTTTTAAGTTGTGAAATAAGCCTGTCAGTCAGTCTATGTGCATGGGAATTAGGCTACGACGTTAATGGATGCGTAAATGAACATAGACAAGTTCATGACATTGAAGTAGCTACACGCCAGTTTTTGTGGTTTAAGTATAGTGGTTTGCTATTTTCAAGAAAGTTTTCTCCGATTTCACACATTTGCTGCATAAATGAAGTGGAACTCACATCACACAAATGACCTTAAGGGAAATTTGCTAATAGAAAAATCCAGTGAAAGATTAAATTTTCTCTCTCTCTCGCTTATTACTCCACTGTTCATATTTTCATGTCGCTGTCTTGTCCGCAGCCGAACCCAAACCTCTCCTTGTGTTCCAGGGGGATTCTTAACGCGACCAAGCGAGCCAATCAGGTGGGACACTTCCTGTGGATTGGCTCTGACAGCTGGGGAGCTAAGAGCGGCCCCATCCACCAGCTCGAGGACGTCGCTACGGGAGCCATCACCATCCTGCCCAAGCGCACTTCCATTAGAGGTACATTTGCCGCTACAGAGCCCCTTTTATACAGAATGTTGCAACAGTCCCCCAAACACACTTTACTCAAATCTCTTTCCAGTGTATTGCCATTTTGTTTGTTTCTTTTAACTAATGACAAACTCCTTAAAATGTCACTGAGGCGTGGGGGGGAATCCTTTCTTACTTAAACATGTGTTGGGAGCTTGATGTGATGCAGGCTACAAAAGGAAGAAATCGGGGAGATGTTGTGTTCGCTAATGAGAGGATTCGGTGAAGAAGACGTGGCAGAAATGCGTGTTGGATGTGTATACACCTCAAAGCTGCAACACATAAAAACAAAATTGAAAGTCGACGCAATTAATAGACCCGATTCCACTTCTCTAAATATATACGATCACTTTTGAAATTCTTAACACAAGCTGGTTTTAAATTGGCCATTCCTAAATTTATGCCAAAGGCTCTTCTCCCTTCACCCTTTGCCCCGTGTGCGTCGTCTCTTCCACCTCATCTATTTCTACTCGAGTTAGCAATTTCCTGCATTTCTCAGAACGACTTTCATCGATCCTGGGAGAACAAGCCTGACCTTGTCTCTGCATTTGGCCGTGAATTGTACCCGACTGGAGAAGTGACTTGCAGACAAATTGGCTACATGTGACTTACAGTAGATGTGCTTAGCTGTGACTATAACACACATTGACAGCGGTAATGAATATACCACTTATTCTTGAAAAGGGCACTCAGGGTCTCTGATAGCTTTATGATTCTGTGGAAGTTAGGATTTCGATTTGTGTTTTTTTTTTGTGTGATATTTAACCAGGAAAATATGAGCGTGATTAAAGATATTTATTTTCCAAAGATGCCCTGTCCTCACAACACAAGCCACAAGCCACTTCATATAAAAGTAGCTTTATAATTAGCCAAATGCCAATTAGAAACCATTGAAAGGTCAGTGATTGCAATTACAGGCTTTTTAAAATGATGGTAAAATGTTGGATTCAACATTCATCCATCCATCCATTTTCTTCCGCTTTATCCGTTGCCGGGTCGCGGGGGCGCGGGGGCAGCAGTCTAAGCAGAGACGCCCAGACTTCCCTATCCACACACACCTCCTCCAGCTCGTCCGGGGGGACCCCAAGGCGTTCCCAGGCCAGCTGAGAGACATAGTCCCTCCAGCGAGTCCTAGGTCTTCCCCGGGGCCTCCTCCCGGTGGGACGTGCCCGGAACACCTCCCCAGGAAGGCGTCCAGGAGGCATCCTGAACAGATGCCCGAGCCACCCAAACTGGTTCCTCTCGACGTGGAGAAGCAGCGGCTCTACTCCGAGCTCCTCCCGTGTGACTGAGCTCCTCACCCTATCTCTAAGGGAGCGCCCAGCCACTCTGCGGAGGAAGCTCATTTCGACCGCTTGTATCCGCGATCTCGTTCTTTCGGTCATTACCCACAGCTCATGACCATAGGTGAGGGAGGGAACGAAGATTGACCGGTAAATTGAGAGCTTTGCCTTTCGGCTCAGCTCCCTCTTTACCACAAAGGTCCGATACAGAGACCGCATCACTGCGCACGCTGCACCGATCCGCCTGTCAATCTCACGCTCCATCCTCCCCTCACTCGTGAACAAGACCCCGAGATACTTGAACTCCTCCACTTGAGGAAGGACCTCTCCACCCACCTGCAGAGGGCAAGGCACCTTTTTCCGGTCGAGCACCATGGCCTCGGATTTGGAGGTGCTGATTCTCATCCCAGCCGCTTCACACTCGGCTGCAAACCGTCCCAGTGCATGTTGCAGGTCCTGGTTCGTTGGAGCCAGCAGGACGACATCATCCGCAAAAAGTAGAGATGAAATCCTGTGGTTCCCGAACCGGACCCCCTCCGGCCCCTGGCTGCGCCTAGAGATTCTGTCCATAAATACAGTGAACAGAACCGGTGACAAAGGGCAGCCTTGGCGGAGGCCAACATGCACCGGGAACAGGTCTGACTTACTGCCGGCAATGCGGACACAGCTCTGGCTCCGGTCATACAGGGACCGAACAGCCCTCAGCAGAGGACCCCGGACCCCGTACTCCCGGAGGACCCCCCAAAGGACACCCCGGGGAACACGGTCGAACGCCTTCTCCAAATCCACAAAGCACATGTGGACAGGTTGGGCGAACTCCCATGAACCCTTGAGTATCCGATGGAGAGTATAGAGCTGGTCCAGTGTTCCGCGACCGGGACGAAAACCACACTGCTCCTCCTGAATCCGAGATTCGACCATCGGACGTAGCCTCCTCTCCAGTACCTTGGAGTAGACCTTACCGGGGAGGCTGAGGAGTGTGATCCCACGATAATTGGAACACACCCTACGGTCCCCCTTCTTGTAGAGGGACCACCACCCCGGTCTGCCACTCCATTGGCACTGCCCCCGATCGCCACGCGATGTTGCAGAGACGTGTCAGCCAAGACAGTCCTACAACATCCAGAGACTTTAGATAATCAGGACGGATCTCATCCACTCCCGGTGCCTTGCCACCATGGAGGCTGCCAACCACCTTGGTGACCTCGGCCAGGGAGATGGAAGTATCCGCCCCAACATCCTCAGCCTCTGCCTCCTGGACGGAGGACGTGACGGGGGGATTGAGGAGAACCTCGAAGTATTCCTTCCACCGCCCGACAATATCCCCAGTCGAGGTCAGCAGCCCTCCACCCGCACCATACACGGTGTTGGCAAAGAACTGCTTCCCCCTCCTGAGGCGCCGGACGGTTTGCCAGAACCTCTTCGAGGCCGACCGATAGTCATGCTCCATGGACTCTCCGAACTCCTCCCAGTCCCGGGTTTTTGCCTCTGCAACAGCCCGGGCCGCGGCACGTTTGGCCTGCCGGTACTGGACAGCTGCCTCAGGAGTCCCACGAACCATCATTGCTCGATAGGACTCCTTCTTCAGCCTGACGGCATCCCTTACTGCCGGTGTCCACCACCGGGTTCGGGGATTGCCGCCGGGACCAGCACCAGAGACCTTGCGACCACAGCTACGAGCCGCTGCATTGGCGATAGAGGAAGAGAACATGGTCCACTCGGACTCGATGTCCCCCTCCTCTGCCGGGACCTGGGAGAAGCTCTCCCGGAGGTGTGAGTTGAAAGTCCGTCTGACAGGGGGCTCAGCAAGACGTTCCCAGCAAACCCTCACTACACGCTTGGGCCTGCCAGGTCTGACCGGCCTCCTGCCCTGCCAGCGGATCCAACTCACGACCAGGTGATGATCGGTTGACAGCTCCGCCCCTCTCTTCACCCGAGTGTCCGAAACACGCGGTCGAAGGTCAGATGATACGACTGCAAAGTCGATCATCGACCTCCGGCCTAGGGTGTCCTGGTGCCACGTGCACTGATGGACACCCTTGTGCTCGAACATGGTGTTCGTGATGGACAGGCCGTGACTGGCACAGAAGTCCAACAACTGAACACCGCTCGGGTTCAGATCAGGGGGGCCGTTCTTCCCGATCACCCCTCTCCAAGTGTCACTGGCATTTCCCACATGGGCGTTGAAGTCCCCCAGGAGAATAACGGAGTCCCCGGGCGGTGCACTGTCCAGTACCCCTCCCAAGGACTCCAAGAAGGCCGGGTACTCTGCACTACCGTTAGGCCCGTAGGCTGTCACAACAGTGAGAGACTTGTCCCCCACCCGGAGGCGGAGGGACGCGACCCTCTCATTCACCGGGGAGAACTCCAACACGTGGCGGCTGAGATGGGGGGCAATGAGTATGGCCACCCCAGCTCGCCGCCTCTCCCCGCGGGAAACACCAGAAAAGTGGAGCGTCCAACCCCTCTCAAGGAGTTGGGTTCCAGAGCCCAAGCTGTGTGTGGAGGTGAGGCCGACTATCTCTAGTCGGTATCGCTCAACCTCCCCCACAAGCTCGGGCTCCTTCCCCCCCAGTGAGGTGACGTTCCACGTCCCAAGAGCCAGATGTTGGGTGTGTGGACTGGGTCGTCGAGGTCTCCGCCTTCGACTGCTGCCCAGTCCTCTCTGCACCTCGCCACCACGGACCCCTCTGCAGGTGGTGGGCCCACAGGAGGGACTGCCCACGTCATCCCTTCGGGCTGAGCCCGGCCGGGCCCCGTGGGCTAAGGCCCGGCCACCAGGCGCTCGCTTGCGAGCCCCGACCCCAGGCCTGGCTCCAGGGTGGGGCCCCGGCTGCGCCATGCCGGGCGACGTCACGGTTCTCATTGTCGTGCTGTCCATGGTTGGCTTCGGACTGCGCTTCGTCTGACTCGTCACTTGAGACCTGTCTGCCATGGGAGACCCTACCAGGGGCATGAAGCCCCAGACAGCATAGCTCCCAGGATCATTCGAGTGCTCAAACTCCCCCACCACGTTAAGGTGGCAGTCCAAGGGGGGAGTTCAACATTATTTTTCTAATTCATTCTAGTTTGTAGGAGCACAATAATGGATTTGTTTCTCTACAGCGCAAATCAAAATAATTGCCTCAATGTCTATTATTTTTATAATAGATGTCAGGCATCTGTCTTTCATAGATGTTTCTCTGCAAAGAAAATATGATTTTTTTTTAAAGAGAAAGAAAATGAGACATCTTGAGGGTTTTGTTATGGTATATTAATTAGTACCAACATGAATCATGATCTTAATCATGGAAGGCCAACTGATGGAAAATCAAATGTCAAATGCAAATGATTGTAAACTTGGAAGCAGAGTTGCAGGGGAAAATCAGAGGGAGAGAAAATAAATTGGTTGTTTTAGTAAATAGCTGTAGGCAGACACACTCCCAGTCTGGAGTGGCAGAGCCAGAAAACTTTCACTGGAAAGAGACATTGAATGCATTATTTATCAATGCAAGTGGCTTATTTAATGAGTAGTCTGATATAATTTAGCTCTGAATTACTTTAAAACCAGGTGTGAAAACAGACTGTGGTGGTGGTAAAATACTGAAAATGTGTGCTAAAATCTTTGTACAATGTCTATCATGAATAAACATGAAAAAGTCTGTAATAACAGGATATGCAGGATACAACAACATCTATAAAAATAAA